AAATCCAGATTAAAAATCTTAACAGCAGCAATCATTCCGTCTGAAAACCTGCCTTTCTAAACAGAACCAATACTGCCTTTGCCAATCAGATCCTCTTCATCAAATTTATTTGTAGCATTTAGCACTTCATAATATGAAATCCTCTTGAAAGTGATGGGGGAAGTAGACTGAGCTGGAAGAAGTGTATTTCTGCAATGGCATCTTATTAAATAAACCACAATAATGGCCAGACTCAATACACCAGCAATTGATGGTAAAATGTACTTCAAAAATCTGGTATTGCTAGATAATCGAGTTGTATTACATGACTTGACCTTAAATTGAGATGCTCCACACAATTCTCCATTGCCAATGAAAAAATCAGAGGTAAAGTTCTTAAAAGGCCCTCCATTTGGAATTTCACCGGTCAGTTCATTGAACGAAACATTGAAATACTCAAGGTCCTCAAGTTTATCCATTGACTTGGGGATTACGCCATCGAGTTTATTCTTGGATAAATCCAACATTTTCAATGAAATCAGATTACCAAACGAATCAGGTATAGGACCATGCAATCGATTGTTTGATAATGTTAGATTTTCCAAACTTTGAAGTTGTCCTATAGTGCGAGGAATATTACCCGAGAATTGATTTCCTGATAGATATAACTCTATCATGTTCTTCATGTTTCCAATTTCTGGAGCCAGCGACCCATTCAGCAAATTATTAGCTAAATTCAAAATCTGAATGTCCTTGTTAGTCCACATTGTCGATGGGATAGTGGAAGTCAATGAGTTGGAAGTTAAATAAATTTTTCGTAAAGTGGTTAGATTTCCTAAACAAGTTGGTATCTGTTGAGAAAGCCGATTTGACCCCAAAGATACAGAATACAGATTTACCAAATTGCAAAGGCTGGTAGGTACTGGTCCCCATAGTTTATTTTCACGAAGATCCAACACTTGCAATTTTCTTAATTTACCCAATGTGTCAGGAATGCTTCCTGTGAATACATTTTATAACAAAAATTAAAATTCAAAATTAAAATATTTAAAGTTTCAAAAAGTGATTATCGAATGTTAATACTTAAAGTAAAGAGATCAGTTAAATTTAATCAAAATATTATATTCAAATATGGTAGCTTTAATATATATTTTTAAAGAATGATTTTATAATTACTAATGTA